AATTGATTCTTTTGGATGTCAACGCCTTTTTTTTTTTACAAATTTATTTTTAGTATCTATATATACACATACATAGATAAATATGTATGTATCATTTTTTCTGTATTCTTTCATTTTTTTCATGGCAACTATAAGTTTCATCATGTAAGTAGTAATACAAGAATTCAACTAAATAACAAAATGCTCACTGCTGGTGACCAAAGGCAATTCCTTCATTAAATAGAAAAGCTTGGCTATGTTTATACTATGTACTTCCAATATGTATGTCTAAGAAACTCAGAAATGAATTTGTAATTGTGATAAAAAACACACATACATACATACATATACGAATAAATGTTCTAGGAAAATGACTTGTACCCATTCTGAATTAACACAAATAACTTATTCAATGTAAACTTTACTGAGACCCAAGTTTTTTTATATTCTAAGTTTATTATGATTATTTCCACTATATCAGTTTAATGAATTGATTTTTAAACTTTTGCCTATCAAAACAGATACTTAGTCAATTTGTAATAATAAATAAAAAATTTATTAAAAGAAGAGAATTGTGATCAAAAACTGTCAACCAGTTTGACTGTAAGTTGGTTTAAAGTAAAAACTTTATGAATGCCAACAAAACTGTTTGAAATAAATTCTATGAAATTAATCAATCAAATGAAAGATTTAACTTCTTTTGTTAATATAAGCATACAAATTTTCACCAAAATTCAACAACAGTCTCAAAGAAGTTTGACTTGAATTAATTGTTGATATAGGTAATTAGCTTAACAATACATTTAAATTTATTTACATGAACAGTAATGAATGTTCAGTAAGTTCAACCTTTTAATTTCTTTAATATATAGTATATAATCTTTCTTACTTAATGTATAATTTTTAAGTTAACCAGTTGATGTATGATATTCCATCTCTAGGAAGCCCACATCGAGCATTTCTTTAACTCCCTTGCAAATTCTATGGAATAAGCACTGTTGTATTATGAGGAATCCAAAGGTGTTTGTCAACTCAAAAACGATTAACAGCTGAAGGAGATATAATGTTTTTATTTTTTGGTGATGGAGACATTTTTTTTTACCAAACTCTGCCTGTGGTCATGCTATTGTAATATAATATATGTAAAGATCTTTCATGAAGCCAGTAGTAAATGGGAACTTTAATGGCAACCAACAGATTTTCTGTCAAGATTACACATAGTTCGGAGGAAAGATGTCAGAAGCTTACTTGCAAGTGTAAGGTAGCAATATATTAGTCAGTGCAGCAGATGTGGATACAATCTTGGAATACCAGCTGCAGGTAGAGGAAGTCATAAAAGAGGTCAGAAAGGAATTCTACTGGTGCTAATAAGAATTCCAAATGGACGAAGAAGAACGCGTCTACCAACAGATGGGGTATGTCCACAGAACTGTCAGAAGACATAGAAAGCCATGACCAGAGGAGATAGAAAACCATTATAACCACTGTGTCCATAAAAAAAGCCACAGTAAACGAATCCTCAGATTGGGCCCTGCAGATTCCTACATTTTATTCCATCTTTACCAAATATCAATATCTTGTATAGACGCTACTTTTCTTTACCAAAGATTACACGGTTGGTTCAGCTGGCTTAGAGATTCATTGTTTTATGCACAGAATTCAGAATTCTTTAAGTGAATATGAAAAACCAATATACAGTATACAGACAACAATCAATCAATTCATGAAAGGCCTTATAAAAATAAACACACAGCTATTTTTTGTAAAAAAACAAATTATAAGATGCTCAGTCACATGATTAATAACTTTCCTTTCCTTTTGAAAAAAAGAAAAAGCTAAAATAAATAAAATTCTACACTGAAAATATTACATCCACTATCTTTTCATTACAGTTACATGAATATTTTATACAAATATTTGAAAAAAGTACTTTAAAATCATATAATATGAAAGACTAAGGAAAGACAAGTAAAAATTCATTGTTTTTGTTTGTTGAACTTCTCACAAGTCTACACAAGAGCTATCTGTGCTAGCCATCCCTAACTTTGAAGTGACAGACTAGAACGTATGCAACTAATCAACACCACCCACTGCTATGTCTTGGACTACTCTTGTCTGACTGAATAGTTAGATTTACTATTACTCTTATAAAGCACCAGCAGCCCAAAAGTTAGGAGCACAATCTTTCTTTTGGTGGTAATGGGACACAAACTACAAAACCTCATAGCCACAGTCTGGCATGCTAACAACTGGCCTGTCTTGGCCCATGAAAACTATTACAAGACAATATCATTCAAAAGTATAAACTGTATTATTAACACTGAAAATTTAGTTTGTAATAAACTCAAACAGTTTTGGAATTGGGTTAATTAGGTTTAAAAAGCAACAACTTACTAATAAGTAATGTTACACTGAAAAGGTTAATATTGAAATATTAGAGAATATATGTATATTCAGTTACAGAATATACTGCAACATTTTACATTTTGACAATATCAATTTGTAGATAATTTTGTTTCTTGTGCTATTTATACTAATATCACTGTCATAAGTGACAATAACTTTCATGAAATCAATGCCTTTTCTTACATACTAATTTACTACAGTTAACACAAGCAACTATTCACCAACAAAAACCTTCTCTGGTATAATCCAAACAGTAATTTGCTAATATCATTCATCTGTTAGACCATGCTAAAATTCATATTGGTTCCAGTTCTGGTCACTTACACCTTTTCCTATATACTGAAGTGGCTTGAAGGAGCATATTTTTCCTTTTTACTCTGTTTTGCTATGTCTAGCCAAGTACTGTAAAGAAAGATTGAAATCAGTAGATAGCCAAGTTGCTTAAAAGTTGGAAACTTTTTACTTACCATAATATATAATTAAAGTATAGGATAGCTTCTCAAAACATATGTATAAGATTATGCAATATGAAATTATTAAATATTAATTCAAAATTCTATGGAATTAAAGATCATCAGTAATTAATGAGAAAAGAAATGTAAAATAATGAGAGAGAAAGAAAGTACTATGCATGAATTAACCATGCAATTATGAAAAAAAATCCCTGGGAATATTCAAAAGTTGCCTTTTAGATTTGAATAAACATAACAAAAAACATGATAAAAATAAAGTAACAACCAAAAATAGACCATGCAATAAAACCAAACTGTAACAACATTACATTTCAATAATTTTAAATTTATGAAAAATAAGCTAGCAATCAAACATAAAATGTTTTAAATAAATTTATTCATAGTAATTTTTTACTGTTTTGTTGCAGCTATTATGTTTATTGAGTTATAATGTGATACTCATTGATCCCTTGAATTAAAGCAGAGAGTAAAGTGAGACTTGTAATCCAATGGCAATAAGTTGGCCATAACAAATAAAATATAAATAAAACTAAAAAATATGCTAGCACTTTTAAGTCTTATTGTGCAGGGCACCATCTATTACAGCATAACAAGGAACAATGTTATTTTTAGAATCAAATTTTAATGAAAACAGCTGTGAAATGCATCAGTGAGGATGAGCCATTTAAATATTCATTTTTATATTATATATATGTATATATTTACTCATTAGACCCACATTCATAAATAATGAACACAATATATAAAAGTCCACACATACCCACAACTGTATTTATGTTTTGACTCCTTGTTGCTAATTAAAAAATCATACATATATGAGTTCCCTAAGAATTGGCAAGTTTGAGAAACATACCAAACTTAGAGCAAACATGAATTCCTTCATCAACTGGTTGTAGCTTGTAGTTGTTTGTTTCTGTTATTTTTCAAATCTTTGTAGCTGTTTTTCAATAACATATGGAACTATTAAAGATACATGGAGAGAGAATACTGAATTTAAGTCAGAGTCAAATGTCTTGGGAAGAGAAGTGACTGTTTAGAGGGGTACGAGTCCAAATGATTTAAGTTTTGATCTGATACTGCCCATAAAGAGGTTAAATAAAATTGATCAACAATGTTTAGCTAAACTTTTAGAAAAGTTTCAGGTGATTTCTAGTGGTACACCAAAAAATATGTCTGATATTTTGATAAATTTTGATCAAGTTAGTTCTCATCCATATGGTATTTCCCTTTAAAAAAAAAGAGAGGGGGGGCAAACCATGCAACAGGATAGTTTCAGTGAGCCTAATTACAGCTGCATCATTTGTTGTAGGAAAGTGGAAAAAATTTTCATGTTGATTACTATGAGGTAAGTGCCAAAACAAAACAATATATCAAACATCCACCACCAAGGGTGGACGATATCTATAGTGGTGTGAGAACGGCATTCCCTTACTTTTTTTGTGGCCCGGAATGCTGTTTCCTCACTATTTCAAACGAATCCGACCTTACAAATCTCAAACTTTGTGAAGTTTCACTCATCTCTAGAAGGAAGAATCATTAACCCTTTCATCCAGGTTGTAGGCAAGTTATCAAAGTATAATGAATGAAAATGTTCTGTTAGTACTGATCACAAATGTATGGTCAGAGCTTATATTTCTCACCTTTTCACACTTATTTTCTGTAGATATTATATTGTTAACAAATGACTTAGAAACTCGACAAAACAAAATGAATAGAAATGTCGGGACTTTTGAGTACGAACCACGAAATTCCAAAGTAAATCTCCTGGGAATTTCTACTTCCAATCTTTTCACACCTATTTCCTATGTTTATTTTACTGTTAGCAACTGAATTAGAAACCTTTCAAAAACAAAGCAATGAATCGTCACTTCAGGCATTAAACTTTTCACGGCTTCGAAAACAGGGTTGGGTAGAGTTTATCGGCTTGTTTGTAGTACAGTAAGTGCAACAAGCATTGTCTAAAGTACTATATAAAAGTGAGAGAAAATATTTACAATATGGCTGTACACATAGTCTGATCCAATCCAAGAAGCTTGTTAGGTATTTGAATGTTAGTTACCTCCAGAGGTGGTCAGGATTTAGCAGTATAGGTGTAAAAATGTATAAGAGCTTATGGAAATCCTGTTTCCTCTTTAACCATACTTACAGAGAAACCAATACATGGTTAGTTTCCAGTAATGTAAATACGGCCTGTTTTGGTTTAGCTAATATTTCTAGCTCAGCCTTCTTGTTAAGCACTTTAGAAGTCCTACAGAAAAGGGATATTACTATAGTTTATGCAGACAAGTTAATTCATCACAGCATAAGGTTTTGAGAAGCAATGAAGGAACATAAGGGTAAAAAGGCCTTAGAAGCAGAGAATGTGATTAAAGAAATTAAGTTTCATTAATAAAACTGACAGAGAACAATAAGATTGTTTCAATCAATCATGGTGAGTTTTTAACCAGTATCATAAACAATATGAAACGACAATTATTCACACCAACTTCTTCACATGAACCAACTAGGTCACAGCCAGGCACTTATAATTCCATTCCAAACATAATTTCTGAGTTCCATACCTTAGAAATCAATGAGTTTCCAGCATAAATAAATCCAGGCTTTGAAGAAAGGGAAATAGAGTCCCTTTGTAAAAGTTTCAGTTTGCCATTTTCAAAAACAACCAGAGCATTTAGAGACTTTATAGACAACTGTGGGCACCACATTCCATCAGCTTTGTATCCTTTAATCAGGTGTTCAAAAGTCATCCCATGCAGTTATTCCGAATGTGAACGAGGCTTTAAAAGCATGAACCTTATCACCTTATCACTAGGCTGTGAATCAACCATATGATAAATATCACGTTCATTAGCTTCATGGCCCTCTGATTCAAAACTGGAAACCAGATGACTATGGATACAAATAGCTTAGGTGTCATCATTCGGCAACTGATACATGAACAAGAGTAGCCAAGTCCAAGGAACTCACTAAAGACCAAATTTGGAAGTTCTGTTAATATGTTATCCAGGAATTCAAAAGTTCAAGGTGTGAGAAAATTAAATTGATCCAAGTGATCAGTGTTACCTCAAATTCTAAGAACTTTTTTTTTATATGTGCTAATTTAAGGGTGACAATAAGAAGTAATATTAACCTGCAGGAGGGTCTTTTGAATGAATAGTTATTGAACTATTTCATAGAACAAATCTGTAGAAATAAGTCTAATGCCATGTATATACTTTTTGTGATGGTATGGTCCCTAAAATCAAAGAAGAGTGGTCAGTTCTGAACCCATATTTCTGTTGAATTTGAAAAGTATGTCTGTTGTAATGTAATGATGATAATTAATACAACTTTTTTTTCATAGCTTCTTCTACTGGAGCAGGTTTTTAAAATGTATACCATTTTAGATATTTGTACAATTTAGCATTATTCATTAGGTTGTTTTTTATTTTGTAAATATTTTTATAAAAACAAATCTTTGTGTTTGGGGATGAACACTAGTTTGCCAGTTGTGCTATGATCAGTAATGTGTCTGTCTTCTAAGTTTGAAGTTATAAATGTGCCTTTTGTGGTATCAGTTAACTATCTGTCACTATCCAGTTTTGTTCTCCACTGTGAATTTATCATGTGTTTATAACAGCTAGAACATGACATCAGAGAATTAAAATATTTAAACGAAAAGAAGAATGTTTATCATTTTCTTAATTGTGACAGGCAATAAGGTTACTTTCCTTAAAATAAATTAACCACCTTGAAAGTAAGGAAAATACTTGATACTATAAATATGTTCATGTACATCTTTCTTTGAGCTACAACAATAGGAGCAAGGATTTATTAGAAAATGTATAAGAGACACTGATACAAGTTGTAAGACATTAGAATATTAAAGTAGAATTTATGTGGAAGTCTGGAGGATACTTTTCAGAGGAATTCAAGACAACTGTGCCACAGGAATTGCCAAACATAAAATAAATGAATAGAATGAAAAAGCATTGTAGCTTAATGTAGCAGACTTCTGTATTAACCAAATTTTAATTGAACATCTGTAATAACTTCAATGTTAATTGAAAATGGATAGGTAAAAACAATTGAACAGTGTGAAAAAAAGATTACTTAAAATCCAAAAGTTAAAATTTCAAAGCACTAAATAAAACAAAAACACCAACACAATATCATGGAAAAAAAACTGTTAATGATTACAGCAAATGCATGTGGACAGCAAGGGTAATCTATGAAAAATATCTTGACAGAAAATTCCAATTGAAACTTTCTATCTGGCATACAGTAAAATATTTTCTTTGTGGTGTATAAAGTATTTTCGTGTAAAATATGGTAGTGTTTCTACAATGTGTTTTTCTCCAGACCCCCCAAAAAAACGACAGATCTCTGTCATTTGGTATGCAACCTGATAGAGTAGTATTGTTTCTAGAATGTTTTTCTTTCCATATCTAGAATATTACAGAAACATGCAACTTAATAGTGTCTTACCTGGGTTTACCAAATGATTGATGGATGAAAGGAGGTAGAGGCACTTCTGGAACAGATGACTGATGGACAAACTCTGAACTGTGAAGCTCTCTAATGTAGTCTTCTAAGTTATCATTAATAAACTTTATCCCACCTGTGAAGGCAAAATCCTAATAAAAACATGTCTTTTTGTGTTGCTTTTAAACTAAGAAAGAAATTATACTACAAACATAAAGATATAAAGCAACTACAATGTAACTTTAAATACAAAAAACTGTTAACCTTAAAAGCAGCTTATCAAAGTGACAGTGAAAAGAATAATTAAAATTAACACCAACTTTTATTCTGAATTACAAAGTTTCATATTCAAATTTTCATTTGTGAAATTACTGCCAAATTTTATTCACTGCTCTGTACTAAACAAAAGTTATATTAATATCCTTTAAATGTTACTTTAAACTTAATTATTTCATATAGTACAATAAAGTTGCCTTCTAAACATGATGTTTGCTTCATCAATTTTAGATGAGAAAAAATGCGTATATTTAAAAGATGATCTCTCTCTTTTTACCCACTTTTATGAGTACTTAGCAATGGGAAAAAGATATTAAAAGTACTAGTATAGAATTTTCTTTTGCTTCTACCATCATCCTTACCCGTAAAAAGCTAGAAATTTGAAATTCACTACACATATTCTAGCATTATTAGAACACTTTAAAATATTTTAACTAAAGAGTGTAGTGTTTTTTAATATTAGGTTAGATGGGTTTTTTTTTGGAACCAATTCTGTTTAAAATTTTTAAATATTGTACTTACAAAGGTTTAAAAATTTATGTTTAACAAAAGCTTTACCAACCAGGGTCAACTGGTCCAAGTTTAGTAGCTACACTGAATAAAACATCCGCTGTCCAGAAGCATGGTATTCTGGGATAAGCACGACCAGCATCAGCAGGAAGGTGAAAACCTAATTTGTGCAGTAACTGAACAAACAAGTCACAGTGAAGTACTAATTCTTGGGCTTCATTGTAGGGCACGATCAAGATGCTCTGTTTCAACACTACAGTCACATATAAGAAGTCATTCAAAACAATTCACTGGGAACAAAATCAAAAACCATACACTGAATACTAAAATTCAAATGGTAACTACAATTTCACATTATTTAGATAATACTATATTGTGACATAATATTTATTTCCACTGTTGGAACCACAAAATACTGAGCACTGAGTAATTTTCAATTTGGTTACTCTTCAATGATGTATTTTATCTATGGTACTAGAACATTATACCAGTGCTGACAAAAATACATTTCTCCCAAAATATGCAACTCTGGTGTATTGACATATTTCTTCAAACATTAATTTTTAAGCACTAAGGAAAAATTCTCTCCTTATGATTAACTAATACTTCCACACAGTTTTAATATTTGCATTTTGGGTAAGTTAACAAAAAATAACATAGGCAATATGGTATCATACAAACAAAACTGTATGTAACAAGTTAGCTAACAACCTTACATGACTGCAAATATTTAAAAACATGTCACTAGAACAACAGTATATTATTCAAAAATCCCATTATAAGTGGAGCTGAAGTTCTTTGTGTTTTTTTTCTGACTACTTTTCTTGCAGTGAATGACATTTCCTAGTGTATGACTCAGTAAGGATTACAGTCACTATAACAACCATGGCAGAAGCAACCAAAAACTTTCAGCTTTCAATTGAGAAATCTAATTAGTATTCTAGTGATAAGAAAACAATGTTTGACCATCAGACTTAATTTCAATATTTTACTGTAGAACTGAAATGTCCACATTTATTAACCGACAAGTGATTTGCATTTACTTTGAAATGGTTGATAGTTGAATATAGGTTATGCTTTGTTATCTGTTCTTTTAGCTGGATGTTTTTGTTAATGTAAAAATACATTATCATTAATTTTATTATGTCTGGGAATGTTTTGAACATCAAACTATTTTAATATGTAAAATGATACTGTAAATGCATTTTTTCAAAGTTTGATGTACTTGTGTAGAAGTTGCAACTGATTAAAATGACAAGTAAATAGTATTTCTAATGATTAAGAATGTAAACACGACAGTAGCAAAAATTAGAAAAAACTATCTAATACTTGTAAATCAGAGCAATGAAAGGGTAACAATTATAATAGAAAACTGTATTACATCTTCACTTTTATATATATATATATATATATGTAAACTATCTGTGCCAGAGTATTTTAGTGCCCAATCTGCCATGAAAAAATAAGGTGCCTATTTAATTCAAGTTATGTGGTTAGTATACAGATGATGCACACAGAAGGTATTACACTAGAATGCTATTAATAAAACTTACAAGCATTAGATAAGGTATGAAGTTATGACTATAAAATATTATGATTACTAAAACATTGTCCATTGCTACAAAGAAAAAAAGGCAATGCAGAAAATAAAAAAACTTACACATTGAGTAAAGTGGAACAGGATATTCAATATCGTGCAAGTTGTTTCTCCACAAAGCTATAGGAAGTTACAAAACACAGGAGTTTTTTATACATATACCATATACACTTTTAGTATTGAAATACATAACCAGCTGAGTTCTTAGTATGTATGTTTTACTTATTAGATGTCAAAAATACCAGAGTAGAATTGCCCTCAAAAATTCCAGTCATGTGTGCTTATAGCATATTTCAACTGCTCTTTGCCATACAATGATACTCACCTGGAAAAACTGTACAAGATGAAACAAACTAAGCTTCTCGTACCTAGCATGTGCTTTCGGTGGATCTTACTTGGCATTAGCCATGCACTAACATTTACCCAAAGAGAAAAATATGCTAGAAGGAAAAACTTAAGCTAAGCCTAAATTAAACCTCTTGTAACCAGCTGTGTTCTTAGTGGGTTTACTTAGTATTAACCATTACAATGTTGTCAAGCTAAAGAGAAAATTCCTCAGAATCAAAAAGATCATGTTAGATATAAGTTAAACCTCATATAACCAACTGTATTCTTAATAGACCTTATTTGCTCTTTGCCATAGAGTATTGCTTATTCAAGTAGCTAGAAAACTTTAGTTGGAAACAAATATCAAAATAATGTTCTTCTAAACAGCTGTGTTCTTAGCAAATGTTTCTTATTTAAGATCAAGCTAAGTTCAACTTAAGTTTTTAAAAATAATTGTGTTGTTAGTGCATTTCACGTGGTAGGTATTGGTCATACAAAATTGAAAAGATCAAGCTAAATTCAACTTGAAAATAATTGTTTTATTAGTGGATTATACTTGGCACTGGCCATACAAAACTACATGTCTAAGGTGAAATTTCAATTGAAAGAAGATTAAATTAAGTCTAGTTTAAGCATGTTGTAACCATCTGTATTCTTAATTTATTTTACTTGATTTACGCCATACATATGACTACTCCAAGAAGAAAACTCAATGAAGAAAAGACATCAAGCAAAACTCAAATTAAGATTCTTTAAATCAGCTGCATGTGGTTTAGGTTTATATTACTACTTACCATCACTCATCAACGAGAACACCTTAGCAGGAAAAAGATCAAGCTTCATCTACAATAACACTATCAAAAACAGTAAATTCTTAGTGGACTAACCTGAAATACTACACATCGAAGGAGAAACTCAAATGGGAAAAAAAAATGAAGTCGAGTCCAAACTGAATCTTTTAAATTAGTTGTGTTAAATATAAAACTAAATCTAATCAAAGTTATGTCCTTAGTGAATCTTACTACTAGTCACTAGATAACTTTATTCTTGATAATGTGGAATTTCTGGTAGAGAAAAGAATAATCTTTATTGACATGCTCATCACTAAGTTAGTTGGACTGGTGAGAGCTGATACTACTCCAAATTCCAGTTTTCACCAGGTCATAATATTAGATTGAATGCCAATATGAGTAAATTAATCTTTTTTATTTTCAGAACACAACAAAATAATTGGGTGTTTTAGCCAAATGTTTGCTGGATGGCTTCAAAACACTATTTTTTTCTTTGAAAGAATTATCAGTAAATGTGTCAATTTAAGTATTAGTGTAAATAGTCCCCATCAAAACTACTGACTAACTAGCTACGTAGTTGACTTTGCTTCACAGTTTACAAAAACAATATAAAAAGAAATAAGCTCCAAAAGAAGAGGCCAGGTACAGAAATATTTAAACAAAGCTCAAATTAAGTCTTTCCAAATTTCTGTGTCCTTAGCAGAATTTACTTTCCTTATGACATTGAAATATCTGTATATTATCTGTGGTATGCTTGTTGGTTGGCATGTATATGTATCACCAGCATCTGCAAATCTCTCATTTTCTTCTTAAAGGACAGGGAACCATTTTCATTATTAAACTAGCACAAATGGGACAGAAACTACAGAGGTACAAGTACCTATGGTCTACAGGGACATGGCCTTGATTTCTACAGGTGATATTTATATGCTATCTAGATATTAACAAGATACAATATATGTAACAGTAAACTGTTTTCATTATTAAACAGATACAAAACTTACCAGACACTGTGCAGGGGCATGGTCTTAATTTCTACAGGTTGTTATTCCATATATAATTTTACTCATCCAAAAGTTAATCCAAAAAGAAAAAGTTTAAACTGATACTTTCAAGACCAATGAGATGCATTAATTTCTCATATTTATTGGAAACTCATGTAGCTGGTCTTATATTAACAACATTTTTTGCTTGTGAATCAGGCACACCTGACACTCCAAGATGGGTTCAAAAGTAAATAGGATTTGTTTTCTTAAAATATATATGAAAATAATAAAGGGGAAAACATTTTATAATTTTTTTCAGAAACATGTAAATAGTATATTTATTAAAAAGTTACTGTCTATAATGTTAATGTCTACAATGTTAAAATTAAATAAATGAATAAACAAATTAATCTGTAAACTTTCAGTTTTAAAATAAAAAATATTTTGTAATGACTAACCTTAGAAACATACAAAGATTTTAATGCTTACTTTGAAATGTTATGCTTTTAGACTTTACATTATATTTTTAAATTACGAGAGGAAATAAAAATTGATTTTTGAAATTGTAATAGATAAATATTGAATGCCTCAATAAGAAATTTCTATACAGTTATCTATTATTTGAGAAATGAAGATGTTCAGGGCTCACCTAACTTAACGTAACATGAATCTAGTAGAAGGTTCTGCAACCACAGAATGTGTTGATTCAACCCTGCTTGACAGAGATTGGCTACATGTTGTTTAATTTCATCTGTATTAGAACCATCATCCACGTTGGATATTTCTTTCACCAAAATGTCAATACTGTTTGAATAGTTATCATGCTGATCTCCATACTGAAACACACAAGCAAAAGTACCTTACATACACATCCTACCACATTGTGACACTCACATAAGGTATAGTATGTCATAAGTCAGACCTTTAATTATTGCCAGAAAGTGAATGTTCACATCAATAACTTCCATAATCGTTTCAAAGTAAAAATATAAATGAACATATATTAACCTTTATAGCATACATCATTCAGACGAAAGCTATTGCAAATGTCAAAAGTAAATATTTTACTAAATTAATAATGGAATAATGTTAAAAAGTTAATAAAATTATATTAATGAAAATATTACAAAATCAGAAAATTCATTCATTTGCAATAAAAATGTAAATGAATAAAAAACATTTTTTAAGATTTTTACATAAAAACTAGTAAACTTTATAAACTGTAGAGCAATAAAATAGCAAGTTTCAGGATGTGAATACAACCTTTTTAACCTTGAAGTTCATCAAATGTTTTTAATATATATGTTTGTGTTAGTGCACCTTATCTATAAATGTGTATTTATTATTTCTAATTTTAGTAGTATGGAAGTCTGTTAATACTGACAATATATAACAGTTTACACTCCACACAAAACAAGTTAATGTTTATCAAGTTTAAATGGAATATAATGGTTGAAAATAAAAATACACACTCACAAAAAAAGTAAAAAAAATCTATATATCATTTGTTAATTAGCCTAAAATAGTTTACAATAATCATCTTCACACTCAAACAAAAAGTTACAAATACAGATTAAAGTTTCTAACCATAAGATAATAATACAACACAAAAATACAAATATCTACCTCATTTATGTGGTAGAAAATAATAATTCTTGGTCATAACCTTTACAATAAAACACATTGTTAATCCTGTATGTGATCTGTTGTCATATGGTTATACTCATCGCAAAACACTTATATAATTTTTTTAACCGTCGGAATCGTGTCACTTAAACACATTTATCAAGAAAACGATAAAAATTCACACCCCTCCACACTCAGATATAAAACTACAATTGTTTAGTATGTTCACTAAAAAAGAAATACTTCATAGTAATAATGTTCATTAAAAAAAACAAAATATAAAAACTACCATGTTCATTCCAAACCAACAATATTCCCATCTTACAGACAAGACTACAATTTTTTTCCATGTCTAATAAACAGATAGCAGTTTACAGTAACAAAACATATAAAAAAACCAAAATATAGAAATTACAGTCCATAAAAAAACATTTCAAACCAACAATATTCACATTTACAGACAAGATTACAACTCTTTACCATGTTCAATAAATAGAACAGAGTGGTTCAAATTCACAATATCTACAATTTTGCACAAAACTACAACAAATGTATATTTTCGTGAACAGAGAATAACAAATTACAATAAAAATATACAATCAATTACTAAGATAAAGATTTACCATGTCTAATAAACAAAATATAACATTCAGCCCTGACTAATGTCTATTAGTTGTAAACAAAAATATTTTGTTCCAATTCTTTGGAAAACTAAACATTTTTGCTTCTACAGTAACTCAAATAGAAAACATTCACATTAACTAAAATACAAAACGTTTGATCTAGTAGGTAGCTGTACCTCTTAACTAACACTGACATAACTTCTTTCAATGTAGAACATATAAACAAGAACCTACCTTTTTTTCTTTTTCTTTCAGGACATCATATATATTATGGCTCACAATCCCTTTGCAGTACAACTGCCATAAAATCTTTGAAAGAAAAACAGTATGTTTTTGTATTTTGTACAGGTATGTCTGGGTTCTCTGTCGAATCAGTTTACATCAAAATTTTCCCTTCATAAAATACTATTAACATAATACATTACACTTTTTGATAGCTTTTAATACAATGTAATGGCCATTAGAGAATCAAATGAATTGAGATTTACCTTATTAATATATTTTTCTAGTCAACATACATTGATTACTATTACGTTTTTAAATAATAAAAAAATGCCAATATATTGCTATGGGTTTTACAAGTAGTTAATATGGGGGATACAGAAATGGTATTTCTATCTCATAACAAACGAATCTAAGAGGACAGAAGTTTAGTTAACAGTACTATCAAAACTAGAATTTTACTATCATAATGCAGTCACCTATTTATTGAATGCCAGCATTGTCTCTGAGAAATAAATATTTGCTAGAAATCAAACTTCTCATTCAACCATATTTTATCTAAGCACAAAATCTCAAGTCTTAGTTTCCTTATTAAAAAACAGTAATAGTAGTTTTATTCTACACCAGTATAGAAAGTAGAGAAACTACAGGCCTTTTTATCATATCATAAATTATAGTTTTCACATAATAAACATTTCTATTGACAAATAATTTCAAAATTCACATTTGATTATTGATTACACTTAAACTTTATGGTGGTTCATGATAACACATGAAGCCAGTTGCCTTAGATTTACCACTGTGACAATATTCCTTATGTGGTTACTTAAGCCAAGTTTGATTGTCTTAATTACACAATGACAGTTGTAAAAGCTCTCCATGTGCCCCAGGCAATAGTACACTACATAATAAAAAATTATCTCCATCAGAAAAGTGACACAAGTCACATGTACACAAGTTCCTTCCACAACACAGTTTTTCAACTGATGCACCTCTAGCAGCAGGAGAAAGAAATGGGTATTCATACTATTTCACACAAAGACAAACTGGTCAAGTGCAATAAGACACAGTGCAATAAGATTGTTGAAACAGATGCTGCAAAACTATCACCCATATAAACTAGATGGAGTATGAAAAGCCTGCATGGATAGAGCCTTTTGTAATGGAAATTATACTGCAGGCCTATTGTCAACATTCACTTTCATCATACAAAGCATGACTAGATGTGGCAACATCGATTATATTTTAATATAGTACACTTAACCCTCTGTACATATTTTGTACAGCTTAGTTACAGATGAAGAACACCGTTTATGGAATCTTGAATTTAACTTGGTTGGAAGGATAATAAAAAATATTTGAGAAAAAGAAATATGCTTTAAGTGATAGTTATTTTTCTTTTTTTTTTTAAATATCAACACTTAAGTTTCCAATGCAAACTCTGCTCACCTGTTCTCTGCTGCAAGGTATATCCCTTTCAGTACAGTGTTCTACAATGCTTCCTACTGGGTCTGGGTCTTGTTCAAACTGCAAGTACCACCAGTAAAGAGCATCATCATTGCTGCTCTTGCTACAGTCAGAGGAGACACTGCTACCATCACTTTCCTCATCACTACTTTTAAAAGAAAAACTCCTCAGTGATCATGTGGTAAATATAACATACAAGTAAAGATAAATAAGCATGTTAATGTGGTTTCAAAACTGAAACTTTACATTAAGAAGACAGGAAAACACAGAATTTAACCAGAATTAAGCAAACAGAATACAGAAATATTACAACTGTCTTTTTCTTTAATTCATTTCAATTCTTCAATATGTATTCTGTTTCATCATTCTAATAACAGAAATGACATGCTGAAAAATGGTGATTAAAAAAAAATTTTAAATGATCCTTTGTCAAGTGGGACTACACGCCATTATTAACATTTAATTCAAGAGTAATAAATTATTCCATAAAAAGATAACAGAACACATACAGTAAAACCACCTGGCAACATTTACTTCATGTTTGAATGTTTATATTCAAATGATTTATCATTAAAAATGGTATTATTTACCAGTCATAATAAATATGTTTACACCAAAGGAACTAAGGCAAACTTACAATATTTTTACTAATAAAGATATATGATAAATATTTGAATAAAAAAGGATATCAACTGAAAGTGACTAACATATTTATCAAATCTGTGACTGAAAAGTTTGAAATTTAATTTACATAAATAGTAATATTACTAATTATGTCCCTACCTAACAAGTAGAAGAGACCTTTAATTTTAACATTACTTATGTGTATTTAATACAAGAGATCTTAATCACTGAGTTTTTATACACAACATATACTTTTATGTAACTATTTGCACAGTACAATATTGTACACGTTTTGTTTATTACTAGCAGCTCTGATGTTATATTAATTATAATTATTAATTTCTAAAGAAATAAAACATCAAAACTGCTGCAGCAAAAGATTTTCATTAAGATGAAACACCAATATCTTAAATACAGTAGAGTGCTATTTAATTTTATAATTCTTATTTTCTTTTCCTTTTAGCTTATCTAATTATAATATTTTTCTTATTCATTCAAGCTGCATTTGTTTTAAAAATATTGTCCCTTTGAATTTTCTTACATTATTATTTTACTTTTTGTTGTTGTTCAACTATCAATCCATTTTACATGAATGTTCTAGTTCATTATAAATAAACATACTTTAAACTTCATTAGACAATTACCTTTGTTCTCTCTCTCCCAAATTATGATGAAAAAAATAACGTAAACATATTTGTGGCTTGCGCTGAGCAGTTCGAACAAACTTGTTCATTACATAACCAATGACATCACTCTGGTACTAGAAGCAGATAAAAATTGTTCTGTTAAAGTAATGTACAAAACAAAAGATATTATATCATTTTCTCTTAGATGCAATGGAATTACTAATAAATTTTCTTGTTGGAAATCCATATTGGGACAACTGTGATTGAAGTATTTAAAATCATTAAGTGCTCATTTAATAACAAAGAATATTGAGATTCTTTACATAATATTTTCAGGTAGATCTTCTAGTATATTTTAAGATATACATTAATCTTTACAAATTTTAGTTAAGTATTTAAAAATTGTCTAGATTATCCAACAGATACTAGTGCAATTATCTATTACATGTCAAAATATATATATTATAATGAAATAATTTTAAACCCCAAATTAAAAACTAATCATTCACTTACAATTGGGTCCACATACTTCATTACATAAAGTAATTTTATGTTTTTGTTTATTACAGCACTCTGTGTGAAAAACAACAACAATAACATACAAACTGAGTAAAACCATTCATTTTCTATGTATAGTACACAAGCAGTATTTAATAGGATTAACTGTAGTATTGATGGCATCTTTGTTTGTGTACCTAACATGTTATTAGGGATCTTGTAACCACCAAAACCAGCACCCACAAATAATTTTGTGTATAAGAATGTTAGAAAAATTTGTTTAGAGCCTCCTGAGTAGTCCATAAGGTCCTCATTAGTAATCTAGTGTTAAATGAAGGAATTAATTCATAAGTGTCACAAAAATGACTATTAAATACTACTTTTAAATTACTAGACAAACATGATTTATTTCATCAATACCTTTAGAATTTAAAACTATATTCAATAGAGTGCTTTCTGTAAAAAAAAAGATGTTTTTTAAACTATAAAAGTATACGTAATCATTACTTGAATAATATTTTTCACATTTCCTATAACATTAAGATTACAATTTAAAATTGACTATTCTCTTAACACTGTTTCTATTTAAACAAACTCTGTAATGGTGCCATTCCAATTAAAGTGACAAAGGGTTTTAAACGAAACACATATTTTCTTACCTCACAAATATCCCACTCCTCTTCTATTATTTGTGAAAAGGACTTGAGGATCACAGGATTGAAAAGTGATTCGGGTGATTTCAAGTCTCCAGCAACATGATGCATCATTGTAAGGACACAGTCATTGACATAATTACTAAAATAAAAATATATTAATATTCAAATAATTTGGTATTATGTAAAAACATCTGCAAAAATTACTTTGAACATCTTGAGAATGATATTAAAAACAAGAGGGAATCCTCAATAGCCGTGACACTTGACATTCTTTTAAGCAGGATTAGAGTATATTAATCTACAAAACCATTTTTTCCTTTTTATTAGCTAGATTTTTGTGCAACAGCAATACAAAGCATGGAGCATTTGTATACCCAATTCGATTTCATTGCTCATCAGGATCTCTATCAGCCTACCCTCAAGTTGAAATTCTTTCAGGTAGAATTAGAGTAAATTAATATATATTAAAGTAAAGCACAGAAAAGAATCATTTCTGTGTTCACTGTTCTTTTTCATAATTCATTTGTTTGCAAAAACTTAAACAATTAATATTTCATGTTTTAATATTCAAAAACTCGTAGTTAAAATCATGAATAAGTATCATTGTGTATCCAGTCTCTCACAGAAAAGTGGCTGGGATTTGTCCTGACTCAACTGCACAATTGGAATACCTGATATTGTTTATAATATTAAACATATTTTTTATTGAATATGTTACCAGATTTTGACTTAACTGTTTCACATAAATTTCCATCCAAGAAAAATTCTATAATACAATCTATCATAAGAAACATACATTTTTAAACATAAAAACTTAGTGAAGTTATACTTTCGTGTGTAAGTGTAAGTGTAATGGCAGTTTATCCTCATGTAAACAAAGCAACAATTAATATAAAAACATATGTCTGTAGGAGACTTGGGCTATTTACTCTTATCCCATCTCACTTGGTCATATTGGCTATAATAGTAGTTATAAAAAGGATTAAAGCGGAGTTTATTTAACAAAATGTTCTTTAGTGAGATTCACATATCATTATATTATATCATTTACTATAATTTTAACACTCATATGTGGTTCTTTAACAGTCACCCACTATAAGTTTTTAAAACTGTATGCTACACATGTATCTTTTAAGAAAACTTCAATACAAGTCAATGAACTTATAGCTACTCTTTGTCTTATATCGTTTACAGGTTAAATGGCTCTCTTTTAAGATAAAACAAATTTTCTTTGGAAAGTTTTTTAGTCTGATATATAATCTTGGGAATTAATAAAACATTGAATCAACTGTAATTAAGTAAAATGTTATATTTTTTACTGAGGTTTTAAATACTATTAAGCTCACACTCACTAAGGTAAGTGGCAAAATTAAGATTTTAGAAGTAAAATTAAATTTAAAAAAGATACTTACCTCTACTATAACAATAAACTACCATTCTTGGTTCTGCCAAGTAAAATACTACCAAAACTCTCCATATAAATACTGCATTCTACACCCTAGGTAAACTACTGCTTCCTAATGACATATTCATAGACCAATAATCTCTTTTTTACATATTACAACTTCTACTTTACTTATAGTGTACAACATCATATATAGGCACAGTTTTCTTTCAATATAGGGAGAAGGGTGGGATAAGTTAACCACTTCACTAAAGTAGTAGTATTTGCTCCACATGGTGGAATAATCTATATTAATCAAACACTAACCATCAAACAGAGAAAACTCAACAAAACCTGTAAACTGAGAAACAGTAATATTATAATCCTCACTTGCAGAAGATGAACGTGCAACATTTTCATTAAAATATCAAATTGAAATTCCAAATTCACAGCTGAACAAAGTATGGAAAAACAATGAACAATGTAGGACAAAAAAGTACTCGTGAAAAGCTGACACATCTCATAACCACAATGAAGGCAAAAAAAAAAGAGATACTGCCAAACATCCATAACCAATATAAAAAATGTTCCTGTGTACAGTCTTGTACTTTCCTCAGTAAAAGATAGTATTATAAGATGGAAGATTACTGCCCCATGAGTCTGTCAATACAGACAGTAATTATGTGAAAACAGTTATATAGCCAGTTATATATATAGTGAGATGGGTAGAGTCAAAATTTGATCTATTTCTTGGCATGAATCAAGAGTAGTAACCCAAAGTTGTTGTAAAGGTATAGCATTGTATTTGAAAGTTTGGTTCATTTTGAACATGTTCTACATAACGATATCTAGATACAGTTTAACCCACATGTTTGAATAACTTTAATAAAAAATAAATTATACTTTCCTTTTCTGCAACTAAGTTTGTATTCCATACATTATAAACTAAAAAAGTGAAACATATTAAAGAGTCATTTAATACTCTTGGTTGCTTACCTATTAGTTCTGAAATCTTCTAAAACTTTTCCATATCTCTCCATTACTTTACCAGTAGTAAATCTGAAAAATTACAGTTTATCAGTTTATTTCATCCAAAAAAAAACCTACTAAAAAAAGCATTTGCAATCATTATATTATATTAAATCAGTAACAAGTTGTGTATATGAAATATAAATTCCAAAGAATTTGTCTTTGTTATATTAAACAAGTAACATGCTAAATGAATCATTTTAAACTATATTAGTTCTCTTAACTGAAACCATCAGCATACTAATAAACGTTTATCATTATGCATATTTTATCATATATTTCTTTCAAACCGCAATAGCCATTTTATGCAAATCCCATGCAACCAATGAGTCACAGGTTTCCAATAAGAAGCATATAATAGTTCTACAATTACTTTGTTTTGAAAGTGACTGCTGACAAGACAAGGTTTTAATGCTCAAAATTAGAACTCATCAAGCCTGTTTCAAGAAACAAACAACACTAAAAGGAAAATATTCAATTACAATAAACCAACAGAGGCAAAAAAAAAACTAAAAACAATGCAAAAATGGTTTCTGATGGACTATAACATTTAAATGTGGTAATTTACAACTTGTAATACTTAATTTTTCATTGTACACGTACAATGAGAGATTAAGTATTACAAACTGTATATTTGTTGAAGTCTACAGATGAACCACACCAAAAAACAAGAGCTGTAAAATAAAAATCAAGATGACTAATGTGATTAATAACATTTATTTAGACAAAACACTTCAGACTGTATTTAATTCATATTAAGCATGTTCAACAGAATAGAGATGAATAAAAGATAAGGATACACGTATTTGTACACAAAGATTTTGTACTAAGAATTTGTCAAAAATAAAAGTTAATTTTTCCTCAACCGTTATTGAACTGATCAAAAATGCTCATATGCAAATTTTTTCCTCAAGTAAAACTAAGATTTAGTTTCAAGCCTTCTTTTCATTTTGTTCTTAAACAGCTCAATTCATCACACTACAACCTTCATCATTTGCATTAGGCACAAAAGCACATTGATAACTGTGCATTAGTCATGAATCATTTAACAATGTTTGACTGTGTCAAACAATCTTTTGATGAAATTGATGAATATGCCATATATACTTATCCGGTACTTCATCATGACTCAGACAAACAATACAATTATCAAACTCCCAATCAATACAGCTACCACTTAAACAGATTTTTAAGATGGTGTTACATATTGTTACACCAATAGTAGGAATGGTGTAGGGGATCATGAGCTGAAGTTATGAACACAAAATAAATGGAGTTTTGTGATATCTACAGAATACTTGGTGTCAGCCTCTTGATTATGGAAGTTAGGTTAGTTGCATGATGTAGATTAATAGCTACAAGTATGTGGCTACCCTTAGTTCCTGAGCTACCTACTAGAATGAGCAGTAGTAGTATTTCTGTGGAGTAGACTGTCTGAAAAACATTAGATTTAATACTAAAAAAACACTGACAGTTGGTGCAAATGTTAAAGACTGATATACTATGAGACTGAAAGGATTTTGGAATCCAGAAGGAGCTTCATGATAAACCTTGGTAAGTGTTTACCTAACAGAAATCCTGAGGCTCCATATGAGACTGCATGTTTTGGTCTGCTAGGTCTGTATCAGTCTTCCAAGTGTATATTGAAATATGTATGTTCTTAAACATCACATAAAATAAACTGGACTGTGATATATGTTACAGGAAGAGTCTCTGTGCCTATTGTACTTTGAGTGAATTAGTATATAGAAGCTCATTTCTGTTGCATTTTGCCCAAAATTTTTCTGTAGTATCAAACAAGTTGGGTTTTCTAGTTCATAGGAGACAAATAGTTGTAGACAGCATAGCTAGAGAAGTTCACAGTTGACAATGAATGTTATTTACTGTTGATTAGATATGTCAATTTAACATGTTATATTGTTATACATATACATGTATAGAAGTACACATACACTATGCATTATATATAAATTTGTTTATGCATGTTATACTACATACATGGACAACTTGATTTTTAAGCAATTAGAAATGTATCTAGAATATTGAGATTTGTGTTTACTACGAACTGCAATAATAAACTTGGACCTTTACAACATGTGAAAAAAATATGTTCATTTATTTTTGGAAAAAAAAAGCATACTGAATAAAACGATGTTTGTTGAGTAATCTATAACATACCAAATGAGAAACATGGTGGCTAAATATTCATTGGTGGTGGTGGTGAAATGTGTTCAGTGAGGCATAAATCAAACATCTGAAGATTTTGAAACTGTCTAAATGATGTTAAATCATGGTTACTAGTTTGATTCAGAAAGAAGAAAAAAGACTGTTTACCAAATTTTTCTATTTATTTTGATTTAGAACAAGTTAGATTTATAGAATTAAAATATATATTTGATCTTTGCTGATATTTTCTCAATATTTAGTCTGTACCTGTGTAGTTTTTAGCTGAAAATACTACACTTAAAGTAATGGCTCTTTATACATGATGTGTAATAAGACCAACTCAATGTGAAAGAACCCATCTAATGTCTGAAAACAGAGCCCTGGAAAAAGTGCCCCCTCAATGGGTGATATAAGAAATGACGGCAGAATTGTCAGAGTGAATCATGACCAACTGATCCACCAGATGTGGTAAGAAAAGAGAACATGCCTGACAAACAGTGAGAAATTCAAACCACTGATGTGCACCTTCTTTTCGTGCCCATACCCCAGAAGACAGTGTCATTATAAGATGTATCCCAACTTGAAAAGGAAGCTACTGTGAAGAGATGGAGATCTGGTGGAGGGGGGGATAATAGAATGCCAATCATGGTATTAGTATGGACTAGCCACCAAGAAAAATCCTTCATAATCAAGGACAATGGGTCTCGTGAAAGATTCCACTGGTCTTGCAAAGTTCGTGTGTTCACACCTCAAAGGAATGAGAGAATCTCATGCGCAGGACAAAAATGAGAAGTGCAAACCATGGATATGCTAAGTAATGCATAGACATGATGAGAAAGGATGTGACAAACATGACAAGTCATCCCAATCTAGCAGCTTCCTGCAGAAAAAAGGAGGTGTGAAAGAACATTGTCCAAGAATAGACAAGTAGAAGCCAATTGACCATGCATAAATGGAAACACAGCCTCAGTCCATGAAGGCCCTCATGACTTGATGAAAAACATAAAGGACCAGCATCATGCTGAAGTGAAGAGCATATAATTGGAATACTCGATTCTAATGGACAAAACATAAAAACATCTGGAGGATGGATTAATTGAAAAAAGGTATAAAAAAGGTGTTTGACCCTCAGATCAGGTGAAAAAGATCAGCAGAGAAGAAGGAAATTCTCCATCCAGAACCATGGAACAATCAGGAACCAATTAAGAGATAGATTGACCCCCAAGATACAAGAGTAAAAAACACAGGGAAGGAGTGTATACCTTCTCAATAGTGTGTATGATCTGAGACAAAATCCACAAGACACTGAAGATAAACAAGGTCAAAGGGAAGAGAAAAGAAAACAGGAAGAGGATGGAGTGGAGGGGGGAGAGAAGAAATGGAGAGAGACTGTGGGTGAAAATATGAAAAACCCATCTATTCATAGAAAACTGAAACTAAGGGTAGGACAGATGGGCACCCATAGGGTCCAACTTGACAGGATAGTCACTGACAAGATGAGTGACAAACCAGAAGTCAGGTAGCAGGAGGACAGGAAGAAGAGGGAAAAGAAAGGCCTGAAAGCTAGAATGCGAGGGATAGAACTGATCCAGCCAAGGAATGGGAGATGAAAGGCAAGGTCATGAAAGACAAGAAACCATTGAAGTGACCGAGGACTGATGATAGGCTACTTCAGCCTGGATTTCTAGTGAAATCTGAACACCACCTAAGTCTTCTGGGCAAAGAAAAGAAGCCAGATGAAGATCAGAGATATGAAGGAAGGCAGGAGTACATTAGTGAGGAGTGCATCCCAACAGCAACAGAAACAATAAATAGGGACAGAGCAAAAGAAGTGGTACAGGCTAAGATTTTAGAGAGAAGGGAACGAAACTCTCCTGGAAACCCCTATTGAATATGATATAGTACCTCAGGTAGAGGAAGAAAAGGGATGTAGCAGGGTGGTGAGAAGAAGAGGAAGATGCAAAAACAGGAAGCTAGAGAGCAACATAGAGGACAAGAGGTCCACTCCCCAAACAGGCAAGAGATATTCAAAACACTGGGAATCTAGAAAAAGAAAGGAAGAATGCTGGAAGTCAGAACAAAAGAATCAAGAATGAAAGAAGAACAAGGCATGTGGGTAAGAGTGTGGAGTTGTTCTAAAAATAAATCAGCATAAACCCTAATATCAGTCAAGGGAGGAAGACGTGTAACTCCAAGGATGTGTTTCATGGAGTAAAGAATGGGAAGAATCAAAAGACACAAGCTAAAAGTAAAGAAATGAAAATACCTGAAAAATCATATCCAGAAAGAGATTTGACAGATGAAGATTTTCCCTGTAAGGCTATACCCAAAGCAAACCCAGTTGGGGGAAACAGTTGATTAAATTCCTTTTTCACCTGGTCATTCACAAACTGAGGAGAAAGGACATCAGAGTAGGAGGCCCAGTATGCTTAATGGAACTCATCACACACATTGTAAATGCCTGTAACATCCTTAACAGTCAACGAGCCTCCAGAAGCCATAGTAGAAATAGGGCCTGTGTTCGAAACTCAATTACTTTGACAGGCAAAAGAGAAATGTAAGTTTTGCTGACAATCACAAATCTCAGTAAACTGAACATAGATTTTGAACAAATTAGCATACCTGTTCAAGGTAATGTCAAGAAAAAGAATGAAGTTATTTTGATAACAACAGCTTAAGGTGAGTTACTGCACATTGAAGTTGTGTTGTCCTCTTATTGATGGAGGGTTATTGTTGCAAGTTGAAGTCACCATGTATCAGTGCAGTTCTTGTTAAACATGTGAATTTTAGGTGACAGGCAGTTCATGTTAATGGCATACAAATCTCATAGACAGACATGCAAGGGATATGGTTATTCTGTGTGTGGAGGTAAGGAATCATCTTGGAAGTTAAATATAACTGCATTTTATATATGACTTTAGCTTGAACATGTATACAAAAAGAAGTACTTACTGGTGTAAATGATCAAGAAGATCAAACTTTTCGTGTATATCTTCATCATTTACAGCCCGATCTAGCAGTAAGAAAAGTGAGTGATTTGTTGTGATCACATCAGCTAAATATTGCTTTGTGTGGACATCATGGCTGTAATTTCGAATCAGAAGAAGGAAAAGCTGGCGTAGATCTTTCATTCGTACAAGTTTGCCTGTTGAAATAAAACTTGTTAGCCACACTTAGGTAAGAGAAAATATATTTCTTATTTTTGATACAGTGCGTAGAAAAAAAATTATGGCTACATTTTTAAGATTTTTTTTTGTACACTAAAATGTTTCTTTATACACAAATTAAAACCATGAGAGACAGCCACTTATCACATTCTTTCAAAGGTGGGATATGTTATTCTAAGTCCTTTTAAACAAAGGCAAAAGTTGTGGAAGGACTTCATTAATAAGAAAAAATACTGCTGAGCAGAGGATTAAAATATGTTTAACTTGGATTTATTGCTAAGAAATATCTTGGCATTCACTTATTTAGATTTCAACACAAAAGTTTCTAAATAAGTTGTTGTAACTATACTAATTTCCATAAATTACCATAAAAATGACACTTTAAACACTGTACAACATAATATATTTTTGTATCTAATTATTTTTGAAAATATGCACAAATTACAAAAACTATAGTCACCTCTCAAATTTTGAAAGACTAGTTTTTCTCGTCGAGGAATAGGCTTATGACAATAACAGTCAACTGTAAAAATCATTTCACGTAGTGCAGTAACAAGAAGGTGCATTCTGAAAATAAAAAATTTGACATCTTTCTAGGATAAAAATAGCATTATAAATTCTACAATAAAAAATGTTTAATTCAAAATTACGATGCAAATGAAAAGATATACATTAGAGCTTTACACAATGCTATGTAAACACGAAGGAAGTAAAAGTTTTTCTATACTTTTACGTAGTTAAGTACATAATAACATGTAAAATATGAAATATTCTTTTCCACAACTTAATCTCTTAAATTATTTGAAATTCACATTTCACAATACAATTAATCCTTTAAATTCTTTCCACACTAAAAAGTAGAAGTACATCCTTATTAATTCAATTATTTAAACACAAGTTTTGAGAAAATTATAAATGTTTTTATATAAACATAAACTTTCCAATATTGGACACAATAGTTTAAATCAAGGTATCACTCAACAGCTGAAGCTCAGACAAACTATAATGAGTCTTCTGCTCTATTATTATTATTTTATGTATACTGCATAACAACCAGGCCATGCCCAACATTAGATATAGAAATATTTAATTTTTATGACCAATAAAAGCACATCACCATCTCTTTGTATTTCATATCAGAATTTTACAAGCTTATGCTCCCCACTGGTTCAGTAGTAAATCTGAAAGGTTGATAGAGCACAAATTTTTTCTATAGTTTTGTGCATAACAATAACCAAACCCAGACTGCATTTGAAAAGTTACACATGCAGGCAAAGCTCAATGTTCACTTTTGAAATGACAGGAGAGCAGCCATGAATAATGTTTATGCCAAATTTTATTTGACAAGCAGGATATTCAACACTAAATTGTTAGGAATTAATCACACTATCATTTACATTTCAAAATGTGATGTAACTTAAAGTATAAAAATGTAGATTTACCATACGTTATTGTTGAGCGGCTCTTATCATAACTGAAATGCTCAACAATTACTTTTCGCAGCTTTGGTTCTGAGTGAAACCAAGAGTGCAACACAATTAACCTTTTTAAAATCCATGAAATAATTTAATATGATAGATTAACTTAACTTTTCCTGTCACTGGGGATGGGTATTTTTGCTTGTTAAACATATGACTGTAACATGAAGCCCAATACCTCAAGATAAGCAATGAATCCTTTTCCATTTATATTAGTTCTACTCAGTCTATTAAAGTCAAAAGTACTATACAAATGTGCTTTAGTGAGCAACATGAGTTGCAATTATAAAATCGATCTGGAATAATTATTATTTACATCTATCTTCATTACTTTCATTATACTATAGTTAAGAACTCTTAATGCTTGAAACCATGACTTTCACCTAATCGTGATATTAATTATGTCAACTATGAGACAATGCTTCATAAAAGATGAGTTTTAATTTTAATATTCTTCTTATGCTCATTACAAACTTAACACATTCTTTCTAGAAATAGAAAGCTACTGATATTTTTGCATTCTGTCTATTGTATTATGACTACATTCTACAATGTATGTGTTATTCTTAAACTATTATATAAAGACTGAGCTTTGAACAGATTTTTATGTTTGTAAAGTTGAAAACTATAGAAATATTTAGCTGCTGTAAACTTACCGTCTTAAAAGAGGTCGAAGGTCAATTTGTTGTGATTTATAGAGAAGTTGTAACTCCTCACACATTGACACACCTTCAAAGGTCAAGTAGCCAATGATTTCCACTGACAAAATGGAACTAAAATTAATACCAAAAAAAACGTATCAGACTATGTTTGAAAAGATCTTCACAATAATAGAAATATTACCACTAGAAGTTCAACTGATAACACTGAATATGAAATGTGTGGTCTTCTCTTTTTAATTACAAATAATTGTTGTGTATAATGGAATATTATCAAGTCAAAGGGAATTTTCAAAGAAGACAAGAATTAACTTCCAAGTAGCTTCCAGACAAGAAAATCAATGCACAACTCTCTGATATATGAAACAGAACCAGGGGTTAACTACGTTGGAGTTAAAATAGAATTCTGAACTTAAACAATTTCATTACAATACAGCAAAGGTTACAACAACTTCTGCCTCATAACACTCCTAATACCAAATAAATAAAAGAAGAAAATGTTTCTCAACCAATGAGAATTAAGAGTTAATTGAACCCTTTCCTAGTTCAGAATAATAATAATAATAACAAAAATCTTTTTTCTCACAGATTTTTATATATAGTATAAGTAATGCTTAATGTTCTGAGAGTATCTGTCAATAACCACTTGCACAAAAGGAATTACTCAGAGTTATTACAAGAAGTGTACACATAACTTAGGAAAAGTAAAAGTAACACATAACCATAACATCCTTTATACCCTTTAACCTTCACAAATTTTAAAATCAACTGTGAAATTATAAAATATATTTTATTGTCTTTAACATTTACTTATGGCTGAAAAGAGAAATGAAATATTCCACAAAGCAAAAAGAAGTATATTTTATGTTGAGAAAATTATTTTGCAAAGACATATCAAATATTTCCAATACATAATGTAGTCTATTTTCCTTAGGTTAAAATCTACAGATAAATTTTGATTCTACACAGAAAAATATTATGTTTTCACATTCAGACAATTTTAAGATTTTTGTTAGGTTCAAAGTAGATTCTAAATATTTTCAATTTGAGTATCTTCATGATTACCTGATGTGATGCAGTCCAAGACTTAATGTAGTAGCTAAACGAAGAAAGTAACTAAGAAGCCACAGCAAGTGAGATTTATCTAAAATGGGTCCATTTTGCTTTAACAGTACTTTCTGAAAGTATAACAAATTTGACATGATTATTAAATATCAAATATTTGAACCAATAAGTAAAACTTAGAGAAAATATATCATATTATATGTGCATCAAAATCCGATGAAGGTAATCTGATGAACATTCTAATATTTTTCTCTTCTACTGTTTTTATAACATACTTGTTGTAAGACTTCAGTAGAGCTCTCGTAGTGTGTCATCTGGGATTTGAATGACAAAACTTTCAACTGTAAACACTGCTAAGATAGACTTGTTTGTTTGTTTGTTTTTGAATTTTGCGCAAAGCTACACGAGGGCTATCTGCGCTAGCCGTCCCTAATTTAGCAGTGTAAGACTAGAGGGAAGGCAGCTAGTCATCACCACCCACCGCCAACTCTTGGGCTACTCTTAACCAACGAATAGTGGGATTGACCGTCACATTATAATGCTCCCACGGCTGAAAGGGCGAGCATGTTTGGTGTGACAGGGATTCGAACCCACGACCATCAGATTGCGAGTCGAGTGCCTTAACCACCTGGCCATGCCGGGCCAAGATAGACTTAAACACAGAGTAAAGACTTGAAAGCTCAACCACGCTATTAGGAATGTATCAATTAATTGGCTGATAATCATAAGTCAATTTAGTGACTATAATTAATCATAACTGTTCAAATATCAACAAAAAAGAACATGAAAAGTTTAGCTCTTCAACAGCTTAAAGTTATAAAAAAATCAATGATAAACTAAAACAATTTTTTGCATCTACTGATAATTCTAGTTTCTGGTTATTAGTTTCACTTAAATGTAAGTCTTTTGCAAATACCAGATGCTTTATGCACTTTGTGAAATAAGTCACTAATATTTTAAAGTCTGCTCTAATTTTTTACTTTTGTAGCATTCATAAAATCATTGTTACTGGTAAGCCTACTATGTGACAAATTCTTTGATAAAACCTTATTACATTTCACAATCAGAATAAAATGATACTAAAGACACTTTCATTCTTTTAAGTTGCTGAAAACATTTAATTAGCAACTCATTCTTAAGCAACCAGTTGGTCACAAATAATCAGTGCAGAGCTTGCAAAAGGTGGTAAAGTAAAACTTACTATTGCATCGAAATACACTCTCTCCTTTTAATTAAACTCTGCCTTATTTATGAACAAAAAGCAAACAGTCAATCAAGAAAAACTCTTAGTCACTGAAAGTACTGTTTCCATATATATATAAAATCTTGTAAGTATGCAATTAAAATATCAATGTGTTTTCAAACATTTTATAGAACAAATACATGTATGAAACCATTTCATCTACTGTATGAATAATCTCTGTCACTACAAACCAAAAAGTCTAAAACTGAAGTATTTATACTTTGCATTTATACAAAGCTACTCAGGCCACCATCCTAATTTTGACCCACTACCAAAGGAAATGTAGCCAGTCAACAGCATCCTATCACCCATCATCCATGTTAAGGGATTAACTGTCACTCTTATAATGAACTTGAAATGTAAAATGTGGGGAATATTTTGTGGTATCACACAATCAAACCTGGCTTGCCAGCTTTGAAACTGAGAGATCTTCATTGTATTTGGCTATTAAAGTTTTAAATATAACTACTTCTGTCTTACAGAAATGACAATGATATTAGAACAAATTTATTTATTGGAATAACAATTTTTTTCGAGTCTGAGATATTACTCATTCTTGCTTTCTGCTAAATTTAACATTTAATTGCACAAGACTCAAAATATACTAATATTCTAAGTTGTATCATGAAATCAAATATAAGCATTTAAAAATCCCATTAGATGCACAAAAACATGCAAATAGACTAAAATGCTTGTTCATGAAAATTTTCACCCATTTCTTTTGCACTAACCAAGATGGTCATGATATATTAAGATTCGGGTGTTTGGTTGTAAGACAACTCACCTCTATCCTCCATACTAACCATATTAGTCATCATTCATTGACTGAGGTCATTGTTTATGAGAAAACTCATCCTTTTATTCTGCATTAACCACAATAGTCATCTTGCAATAAGACTGAAGTCTTTAGTTATGACAGAAGTCAGTATTTTCTTCTACATTAACCACACTAGTTACCACAAATTAAAAATGAGATGTTTGTTCCCGAGAAAGCTTCATCTATTTTCTCCACTATAATCACCCTGATTATTATGTATTAAGACCGAAGTGTTTAGTCATAAATACTCAGCCCTTTCCTCACATTAAATACATTGCTCATAATGCATTAAGACTGATGGGAATATGATTTTTCAGAGGATCTGAAATACTGCTTATTCTCAACTTATTGTTAATTTTAATTACTAACTATTGTTTCAAAGCATAAGACTCAAACCTATTAAAATCATAAATAAAAATCTAAATATGCCATTATTACATGCACATAATCATAAGAGTATTAGTATTTCCATATCAAAGTAATTGAAATATTGCCACTATCTGAATAATCTTTTTCGCTACAAATTAAGCTAGTTTAAAACTGAAGTATCTTCAATGTATCATATGATAAAATAACTACTACATTTTTATCTTTGATATTTTATTTGAAGATACCAAAAGCTTATATGATATAATATTGCTAAAGTGGAATTGTTTTAACGCAACAACAGGAATGAAGAATCCTTCTCACAAAAGAAAAATTGAATATTAGTAATTACAGTAATCCAGAATTTCCTGTTTAAGATATACGTGTTAATACCAAGTGTTAAAATAATATTTTGTAAAATAACAGTTGTTAAAAATACACTATAAAAGTATCAAAATTACTCAATGTTTTTATAGTTTCTATTTTACTAGACTCCATCACAAAGTACACACTTCATTATAAACATTTAATTGATTTCAATTCATTACCATCCAAGCAATGAAAAAACACAGTAATTAGTTTTTCTGACATTTCTTTCTTTACTTGTACATTTCCAAAAGTAGTAACTGTCTAATCATGTGACAATCACATATAATTCGTTTTTATGTTACTTACTACCTTGGTAACTCCTTTCCATTTTCAGAAAGAGAAAACGGAATAACCAAATTAAGTTAATATTGCCTGGCTTATTTAGATAAAGCTTTCTGGTATTATCACACCTATATATATTACACACATGACAAATTGCTATACTCTGTTGAATACTTTTTTTTTGTCTACATTGAATGTGTGAAATAGTCAAGCAAGTTCTTTCATTTTTTGTTTCATCACATCAAATAGATATAAAATGAAGAATCATGGCAGATTTTATTAGATGCCAGTATACTAGGAACTTTTAGATGTATATTTCAATTAATGTAGTACATTGTGATGTATCGAATTACAATGCTATGTAGGATATTTATTTTTGTTCAGAAAATTTCATTACTCTTGATTATACCTTAAAAATTAAGTTGTTAATAAAATGTATAAAAATATGAAGTCCCTTTCTATTTAAAGAAACTGAGAAATAATGAAATTTTTATATTTTAATCCAACTACAAGAACCAAGATTAATTACCATGAGATCCAGGATCAAATTGTTGAATCCACTGTGAAGAAAACTAATGGTGAAATCCTTCAAGAGATTACTGAAAATAAGAATAAATAGAAAAAGATCAATCAATAAATTTCAATATTTGAAGGTACATGTATATTGTCAGATGTTAGGTATGTTTACCAATTGTCAATTAAAGGCTTATACTTTTTAATAGTATAAACATATACTGTGTTGTTGTTGGACTTAGTATTCTTCTACAGTAGGTGTCTGTAACTTGTTAACAATAAATTCAACGATAAATGAACAGCACACACTCCACTTGTTTTCAAAATAATATATGTATATTCGGAACAAATTAAACATATTTACAACAAATTATTTACACTATAGAGATCACAGGCATATGATAAACACTATATATAGTTCTCTTCTTCTTGTTAAAGGTCCACTTAGGCCTATTCAGTTGCTTTAGAATTTCAGTTGACAAGCCAAACTACCTTTCTCTATTTCTATTGTACTAGTATTCCGTGTATAATTCACTTACTCCACCTCATTGAGTTACTGCAGTTGTATCCTGAACTTCTGATACTCATCTGCTTTTTTGTATTTAGGCTTACTTCCAATAATTGTCTGCTTTTTGGTCAAAGTCCACACAATCAGGTTCAATTGCTTTAGAACACCCTTTGATGAGACAAATTATTCTCCTACAGTGTCAGAAAACTGTTAATCTCACTTTAACATATCACCCATTAGGCTATTCACTCCTACGATGGTTAACTTTCGTTTCCTAACCTTTTCTTTGGCCTCACTTCTACTTCCCATTCTCTGGTCTCTCGTTTGTTTTGTCTGCTTGCTGTTTCCACTCATCTCACACTATCTATATGTTTATCACTTAATCATCTGCCTGCCTTCTAGAAATCTCTATCTTCTCGACGTCAATGTATTGCACGTGATATTTGATAGTCTCAACATCAATGAATTATAAACACAACTTCCAATAATCATCTGCTTTTAACTCACTTATTATAAGAAAAACTAATCATAATATACTAACTCACAAAATAAATTAATCAATAATATCTACACTAAACAGTCTTTTGTATCGTGACATACATACATAAATGAACTTACAATGCTATAATACAGATAATAAAGGAAACAAGAAATTCTGATACAAGGAAGGTAGTATAAGTTTATCAATTAAATTTTGATATACAGAATAACGAGAAAAGTTGTAAAGTAGTTATTTTTCTTCCATTAGAAAGTATCATTTATTTGGAGTAGAAACTACCAAACTTAAACTACCATATAAAATATAATTTCAATGAAATTTTGTCACACTGTTTACTACTTTTATTTGTTGTTTGTTTCAAACTTATCTTTGTATTTCATATATGTTTCAACCATGTTACAAAACAAGTTAAGATTTATTTCAGTCTACAATGTGAAGAATGCATATGGTCATTTAAATCTGTAACTTGCAATATTTATTAGTGATAGCACTGCATAGGTTGCAACGATATGTGTACAGAGTCACCAACACAATTTATGGGAAATTTTTAATACAGTTTCTACAAATATGAATGATTTTGATAAGAGATCTTCTTTATGTATGTAGTATGGACTAGAATATTATAACAACACTGAAACCATTTCAAACCTGATGTCATCATCTGAAGGACCATGAGTTGACCCATCATGTAGGATACGCACATCTTTTCTCTTGTCCCAAACTAAATCCCTCAGAGAACTCTTTCCCTTAGATGCAGTTGCTGCAAGAGCAGCTTCAAAGCATACAGAAGGAGAGCACTTTACTCCATAAACCGAGTTATTACTTTTTCCTTTTCTTCCTATGGGGGGGTGACTACGTTGTTTTGTTGGAACAACAGACTCATCTTCATTACTGGAATCACTTTCTGCTTCTTTCAAGAATGAATGTACAATTCGATGTTTAGCAGATGACTTTGTGTGCCCCTCTCGATGATATTCATTAGCCTGAATGCACTGTGAAGTTTCATCCTTATTTTCTTCATCAGATGATAAGAAATCATTGAAGAAACCAGATGATGAGCTGTCCATCTTTTCAACTTGTTCTTCCTTTGCAGTAAGATTTGGTAGACATCTCGATACAGATTTGAGTGTTGACTTGTTCACATGACTAACCAAGTCATCTTGTTCATTCTGAGAAAACTCAGTTGGTTTAATCTTTTCTTCATGACACTTATTAGAATCCCATTTAGACAGTGTCTTTTTATTAGCAGGTGATGAGCTGCAGCTTTGAGAAGAACAAGTATCAGAAGTTTGAATGAAACCAGAGTCACTATTGTAAATGTGACTAGGCTTCTTAGCTGATGAATCGCTACTCAAATTGGTTGATGAATTTTTGGATGTATCACTCTCCGTTTCTTCCCCTGAACTTTCCGAACCAGAAGACACCAACGTAAGGAGTTGCTGAATTTTGGAAACATACTTGAGGAAAAAAAAAAAAGGAACATATGAAGAAACCTAAAATGTATTTAAATCTATATCTGAATAATCAATACTTTGTAATTTATATTGATGTACATATTTACATATTAATTTGTAATTTATTAATTGTTATATATAAGAAATATCTAAGAAATCTTTAATAATTAACAATAAAACGACAATTAAAAAACTTATGTAAGAACTATGGAAATGCATGTCAACGTTATCTTAAATCTTAACATTTTATTTTTGATTGTGCTGGTGAAATAAGATCCTTAATAATGATATACATATATACATTTTAAAATTTTGATATTGTCACACAGTTGTTACTTATTTACACACCAATCTAAAACACCCTTTGCATCTTTTGTATATATTCCTTAGACAGCTCACATATTTACTATAATTAATTTCTACCAATTTTAAGGTTCATCTAAGAGTAAAAATATAGCTACAGTCACATTAATTCAGATATCCATGGATGCTGAAGTACTGCCAAATACAACTTGTACAGTGGTATTTATGTGATAGAAAGGTTAGAAACAAACAACTTTTATACTCCAGATATTTATAAGAGAACTTTTTATTTTAACCAACATTTTGTCCTTGTGGCTTCTTCAGGGTTAGTACATAGAACTGTTTGATATTAGAATATTCATTAAATTATAAACATATATTTAAAATACAGAAAGGCTGGTTCTAAAATGTGGCGAAGTGGTTGTTGTCCTAGATATTGTCATTAGTCATTTTCCTTTGGTATTGCTGAACTCTTAATTGAATGGAGTCACTGGATAATTACATGGTTTAATATTATACAGGTTCTCTAGTGAGATCAACTGTGTAGAAGTTTAGAAATACTAGAGGCTGTGATCTTTCTATTTCTAGTTATGAAGTGACCAGGTGATGTGGATAATGCATCCACTCCAGGAGACCTATTGTTCTGTATATAGTGGTTAACTCTCTCAGTTTTACTCCAATTTTCCTTCAACTTACTGAAAATCTTCATCTAAGCAAGAACTCTTTTTTTCATTCACTGCACATGTTCTGCTGAACTGTATTTGTTGGCATGCATGTATAATAACAACCTGCTTATTTTTCATTTCAAACTGATGTACAATCTTTTTCAATGCAATCAAATAGTAAACTCAGGTTAGCTCTGCATAACATTTTCTGCTTTTCCTCTAGTTTTTGCACCTACTATTCTTACATCTAAGGTTATCAATGTACCTAATAACCATAAGATTATGTGAATTGTGGTGCTGATAAGGATTTGTTTTGGGGAAGTTTCTATGTGTTCTTAACATGCGTATTTCACTACTCTTATTGTCTTCATAAGTTTGAATTTCAGAAAAGATGGAAACAGCATTTTCCAGAAGAAAAGCTTAAGTACAAAGAGAAGAGCTAGTCAGATAATTTATAATTGAGAATATGGTAGGGGCTAGAAGAAGCCCTGTCTTGGACAAAGGTCTTTTGTTGCTCATAAAAGAAGCCATGGCTAGGGTCGTATCTGACCAAGAGTACAGAAGAACTGTTGCCAAAGGTTGCCTGGGTACTGACCCTATTCTTCCTTTGAGCATGAGCTTTGGTGCACAGGAGGGATGGATGACTGAAGATTGTAGCAGTAATTTGTTGTCTGGAGTCCTTGAGACAGAGTGGGGAGATGACTAACTAGTAGAATCGAAACCTGCCACTGATTAATGTCACACTGTAGCAGAGAGGTGGTGCCTCTGGTGGTTAATGGTGTTTGACATTATTAGGTAATATAGATTGAGATATTATAAATTTAAGAAATTAAACCTGATTTACAGTCATTATTAGACTTAGATGAAATTCTGTTTTGTTTATAATTTTTGTTTGCAAACTGTATAAATAAATTTTTTTGTGTCTGTGAAATAAAGTTGACCTTTTGTCTCTCTGTAAAGTAATTACTTTGACTTCAGTGAGGTCTCATTTGTGTTGCTGTTAAGCTATGAAGTGACAAAGTCAAAGAGTTACTAACAGAATCTAAAGCCTGAAAAAAAAACATTTGTTATGGATACTTCTTAATCAAAACAATTTATCAAATAATTCCTTTCTTTATAGCTAAAAAATTGTATTTTCATGCATTTTTTTAGAAATATTTCCTTACAACAAGTAATATATTTTGTAGTGCATACACTACACAATACTGAGTAATCTAAAACACTGGTAGTAAGTGGGCAAGCTTACAATCTGAGGGAAAGTGGAAAACCTAATTTCACTGGCTTATTGTTGACTTCAGAAATGCAAGTACAAGAATTTCATTAACTTCAACTACTGCTTATTTTCAGTTCTACTAAATAAGCTTTTCATTGTTTCAAAATACATCAAATTTGTATTTGTAAATAAACTCTGGCTACAAGAGTTGCTAATTTCTTAAGTAAGCAAAGAATGTTTTCCTATATAAAGCAAAACAATTTTATAATGTTTTTCAAAAACAATGAATTGCAGAATTTTAGGGATGGCTACATATCTGATACATCATAAATGCTGTTGTAAATTAAACAACGATACTTAAAACCCTGATTTTACTTATTTCTTGATAAAGTATAACTACTTATTATTATATTAAAATCTTCTCCAAGTTAACTTTATTTTGGTAACTATGTTCATGAAACATTCAGTCTACAACAAAGAAAAGTCAGTTTATGATAAACACTCACTTCATGACAGGTAATTTTGATTCATATTCCTGTTCAAAGAGTGAAAGAAAATCATTAAATTATGTTCACTGAATGAAAAATAGCATAAATCTCACCAACATACTGACTGTAATAACGTGACTTGAAATCAACAACATTAATTATCAAAACTACTTATAAACTTGGAATAGTTTCAGCACAAATCAATACACAGTAAGTGTAAAATCCTCATAGCAAATTACAACTTAATCAGTGTTTGTAGAGCTAAGAATGAGTACCAGTTGAGGGCTTGTGACAGTCTTCTCTGAAGTTGACAATAAACCAGTTAAGTTTGATTTTACCACTTCTCATGAAGTTTATTCCTTTTTACTATCAATATATTTTACTTATGTAGTATTTTTATTAACTTAGAACACACTAGAATTAATTGTAAAGTTGGTTTTAACTAAAATGTCATATTATTAGTTACTAGATGCATCATCATGGCAAAGAGTAATAAGAATGCTTATAAACACTATTCAAAATCTCATACAGCAATACTGTAGGATGAAAGAAACAATTTACTAAACACAGTTTAACACTGAAAATGGAAAAAAAGAAATCTACCTGATCTTTATAGAGTAGAGCAATTAACTGCACAATGGCCAGAGTCCAAGCCTCCTGTAAATAAGCACATAAGAATTTATACTTTGATGAATTAAAAAGTTTCATAAAAGTTTTAATTTATGGTACACCTTACAAGAATACTAAAACTATTACAAGGTAATATATTACCAACTTTGACACTCATGAAATCAAAAGTAAATTCGAAGATATAAACAATGCACATTAGAAATTTCGAGTAAGACTTAAAATATTTTTACTTGATTAAATCACTGGTACCTGAACCAAGTCTAAACATTACATATTCTTTGACACAAAGTTGAACTTACAAAAACTTTATGGCATATTTATGTTCAAAGTAACCTTACTTCCAAAGTAACTACTTACAAATGGTGTTCAAAAGCTTACACTAAAAATGAAAAAGATACATTTAGAATGTTGAAAATATCACACTAGAAATGGTTTCTAATATCATGCAGGTTGTGATCATTCCAGAAAATGCATAAGGATAAGTATATGCTTGTTTTTGAAACATTAACATATCCATGATTTTCTAGACTTATGAGCCATATGAGCATTAGTCAAGTATTAAGACTTCTAGTAAAAATAATATATTTGGGTTAAAAAACAAGGCAAACAATCTTTGGCATATGTGAACTTGTTAGGATCTGCAACATGTTGCTTTACAAATTCTCCTCAAACTTTTAACACAATTAGAGATTGCTGAATTCTACAACTCTGGTGTCAACACTGGCAAAGAATGTATAACATCACTTTATATAAACTTGAGATATTACTAATATGCTTAGAATGATATAAACATTGTGGCTAACCATGCTTACTGATAATTAAGACATGTTGCTAAATACATTTATGAGAATAGAAACATTTTTCTTAAACATGTAAAAAGGGAGAAATGTGCTTTGCTCAAATAAATAAACAGGTGTTTGTGCAATATCACCATAGTAAGTGTTTATGTTTTTGTTTAAGGCCTTACTATTAAGAAAATAAATGTTGGACACATTTAGCAATTAAGATTTGCTGATAATGTACATTATCATGTGGATCTTAACCATTTCCTTATATTGAATATAAGAACTCAATAACATTCTGTTTATGCACACTTTTTATTACACAAAAAAAAAAATGTGACATATTTTATTATACATGAGAAAATGTGACATATTTAAATACAACACTCAGTACATACAGGTAAAGACAAATTTGAATAAAATTATGATATATCTATATTACACTAGAATTTATCTTTACAAGTAGTTCTTTTTCATTGGTTTTAAAATTTCGATGGCAACATTTATTGCTTTTATATGTGAATTGCATAATGATTTATTCACATCACTCCCCTTTGGGTTCTATTAACAAGTTTGGTTTTTTGGTTGTTGAAAGGCTCAGGGTTACCATGCTTCCAAATGGAATATTTTCCAGGAGCTTCCAGGAAAATAACTGGAAAAATCTCAGGATGTTTCCAAGAAATAGTATTATACAATGCAGTGTTAAGATAACACTACAAACTACAAAATCAAACTTTATGAAATATTTTATATATATATATATATATTAACATATTTTTGTGGAGGAGAAAAACATCTTTCATAACGACATGATTTCTAATTGTGAGATACAATTAGAATACTTTATTGGAATGAGGATGGATTTACTAAATTAATGTAAGACAAGTTGAATGTTTCAACTTAGAAATTTCAACAACTCTTCTACTGATACAAATTTGTAAATGGTCATTATATATTTTGTAGCTGGTTTGTTTAATCTCTAAAGCTATATATATATATATTAAATAAAATGTCTTGAAATTACATTATCACCTTGGTATTAAGAATTGCTAACAAACAGACATGCAACCATAATACTGGCAATTGTAGGTTAAGCTCACATAATGAATTCTGATACTGAACTGAAATAAAATCCTTCATACTTGCAACCAATAAAAAATAAACTATAAATTATATTCCCACACTACTGGTTTAGTCTAAGAACACATAAAATTTCAGCTGTTAATGTGACTTTTAATCACTATTTCTAGACTCAAAAATCTCTTTTCACCATGTAATGCTAATGAGCAATCATGTATTATGTTATATGCTTTGTCTATTATTTGTCTTCAAGTTGCAAAGAAATCGATGTCAATTAGAAACAAAACACAACTTTCACATGTGTGTTACTTAACAGCTAACTTATAAATACTGTTGCAGCTTTGTAGCAGTAGGACCACAGATATGGGATACTGAGATGACTGAAATAATTATTACAGGTAACTAATACTTTTACATTATTTTACCTTTGCTACTTTGTTATCTTGTTATTCATATAAAATTAATAAAAATAAGAATAGTATTACTAGCTTATTTTGAAATATCTTCCATTTTAAATGAAAAAAAATTGTAGTAGTCAGTCATTATTATATCTGTACTTACTTTAGTAAACCCATCATGCAAGATTAAAAGTGTGTAAAATCATACATTAGATAGGTAGTTAGTTAAATAAAACTCTATAGACTCTGGCAAAACTGCACTTCAAATCCACAAGTTTAATAATTCTATTTTACTACTACCATACATTGAAACACTGAACTGTCATACTAAACAAAAAAAAATTGTTGTACAACTAATAGCATGTAAAAACTAGAAATAAATTCACCTATACAACATTATAAATGAAATACAAGGGTATTACTATGAAAAGTGGATACACATGCTTCCCTCTTCAAACATTTATTGTCTAAAATTAGGCCTGTAGTTGGAAGCTCAGGAAAAGTGAGAAAACACAAGTTACTGCAAATAACTGTCACACTGACAAGCAAGGTACCTCAGACTTCTTGTGATGTTAACAAACTAGATACACTATTACCATATATGGTGACAACAATTGGAACTATTTCACATTTCCAGATCTTCCAAGAGATTTTTAAAATTTTCCAGGACTTTCCAGGAGATTCCATGAAGCGTGGGAACCCTGAAAGCCTGTTATTTTCTCCCCTCTTAATTTACAGTCAATACTTCATCCCTGATATAAATCTGTTTAACTAACTAAATTGTATTTTATAAAAAAATTATTTTCTTTTGATATTTAAAATTGCTCAATTGTCTAAGACACAGATATACATTGATGTCAGTGATACGAGTTGTTCTTCTAGAGGATTACTGTCAAAATATCTGACTGTAGAATTCACATTTACAGTACATACTATCAAATGAAAAGTACATGGTTGTAAATATATGTAGGACCTGTATGACAAGAAGCAGCCTAAGATAATGTTCTTGGATTGAATGAATATTTTTTTTAAAACATCCTACAGCATGAGGTGAGCCACTTCAGTAAATGCATTGAAACAAGTAAAAGACATGGGTAAAAGAGTAATGTTCTCATATGAATTGGTTATCTGGCAGGCAGTAATAACTCAGTAAAGGAAAAAAAAAGTACCACTTGAAGACAGCAGATGTTAGATGATCAAATTTGCACAAATATGCTTTATTTCATCATCAAAGTCTTGCATGTTATCCTACAATTTGTCATACAATCTTCTTTGCACAGAAATAAATGACTGCTAGTATTTCAAATTTCATTTTAGCATTAGCTACAAGTCTGTGAGTATTATGTGATTTACTTATATAGTTAGCTTAGATAACATCTTGTATAGAACTATTGGACAATTTAATGCTTGACATGGCTGCTGAACTTTTGCAGTCTTTTCTGCTACTTATCAGGTCATTGTTAGTCTGAATTATTGACATAGAAGCTTTATATCTTAAGTTTTCTCTTTTTTACTGTACTTACGTTAGCTTCAAATTTTTCTTGTTGACCAGATAAGTCGATTACAAAAACTTTGTACATTTCCATCCCTGTTCAAATCCCTACTTCTTTCCCCACTGCAATGTTGATGCTGTAGTAATGTCACTTGGAAAGAAGACTTGGGCATAGGCTGGTTTTTTTCTGCAGTTTTCCAAGGGTACTGATGTTTTATAAACTCTTTGATATACAGGTAGATAAGTCAATTAAATGGTTCTGTCTCTACAGTAGCAAGTAAGTAGTTCATTTCCAATGTCATTATAGTTTAGAATGGATTAAATGTCGTATAAAAAACACAACAATAAGTAAAATGTACACATGAAATAAATCGTTAATTGGATGATACTTATAATCTATATAAATAAGCATGCATTTGAAAGATGATAAGCAACAGTTTTTTGTGGACGGTCAAGATCATTTGCATATCTTAACATTTTCTGTCTGACTATTGTTTGGTTTAACAAGCAAAACATACACCATTTATCTCTGAAGAAGACTAGAATAAAAGTTAAACCTTATGATTTTAAAAGATTCAACTTCCACTCCTATTTTATGTGAAATATTGTGTGAAACAATACATGTGTGCTTCACCTATGTCAAGAAGTCTTTTTGAAAAATACTAGAATGTGTGTTGAAAATTGGCAAATAGTATCTCAACAAGTAGAAGCACAATAAACAATTTACCCAAAACAACTTTAAAATCAGCAGTTTCTCTTAGACCTTTCTAACATGCAAGCTTTCATCCCCATTTTGTAAAAATTGAACTAAATAATTTATGCCTTAATATGTGAAACAATATTACATTTTACATGAATTTAAAGTCTTTTTTTTTACTAGTATTAATTTACAAATTATATAATTTCTAATATCCTAGCTTGACTTGGAAAAATATGTTGACAGCCCTTTATGTTTTGGTCTTGTTTGACAAAACATACAAATTAAATACTACAAATAATTTACACATGAATTGTGTGCCTTGACCAACTTAACAACTTCAAATGTTATTGTACATATATGGTATTAGAAGGTTCAACTTGTAAAGCAGTATCATGACATAAAAACAGGTTTCGGTATTTAAGGATAACTAGATACATTCTTGGCAGCTCTTTATACAGTCAAACAAACCACAGTCAGCAAGAAAAGTCTTGAATGTTATACAGATATCTGCTTCTTTAAGCAATATACAGTACTGTGCAAAAGTGTTAGGACAAGAGAATATTTTGTCATTCTTT